TATGTGATAGCAAAATATGTGACAGGTCCTCTTTATGGAGACATCAGGGGTCTCCAAGACCCCTAATGTCACCTAGGACCCCCCAAAAGAAGCTGATGAAGCAGAGATCTGCTCCATCAGCTTCTTTCCAGCTTCTGAAGCTGGAGAGTGACACAAGAATGCGGAAGTGATGTATTATACAACACTTCCGCATTCTTGCAGAGGAGAGGGGACCGGAGGGAGCTCGTGTACCGAGCTCTCTCTGATCCCCTGTGTCACAGGCGACATGCTGATCCCGGGCTCGCACCGGGCACAGCGGCGCCCGGGACAATGGCGGGGGGGACAGCAGTGGGAGGGGGGGCCGCACCGATCATCGCTAAATACAAGCGATCCGCCGGCTTTACAGCCGGCGGATCGCATGTATATTAACGGGCATCGCTGCCCGTTTTTAAATTGCGGCCATTTCCCGCTCGCGTGCTTGCGCCCGGCGGTGTGCGCAAGGGGGCGTGTCTGAGCGGACGTCTAAAGACGCCTGCTCAGATCTAGAGAGCTCCTGGCCGGCCGTTTTTTTACTGCGGCCGGCCCGGAGGCAGTTAAAGGCCTCATTTCTTTTTCTGAAAACAGTAAATTGATGAGCTTTGACAAAAAGCTGTAATTTTGTTTCGTCTGTCCACAGCATACTCTCCCAAAAGGATTTTGGCTTCCTCGGGTAAGTTTTGGCAAACTCCAATCTGGCTTTTTATGTTTCTGTGTCAGCAGTGGTGTCCTCCTGGGTCTCCTACCATAGCGTCCCTTTCCATTCAAATGGCAACGTATAGTGCGAGCTGACACAGTTGTACCCTGTGCCTAAAGGTCAGCTTGAATTTGTCTAGAAGTTGATGGAGGCTCTTCATCCACCATTCGAACAATCCTTTGTTGCAATATTTGACCAATTGTTCTCTTTCGTCCATCTCCAGGGAGATTACCTTAAGTGCCATGGGCTGTAAACTTCTTGACAATGTTGTGCACAGTGCACACAGGAACATTTAGATTTCTGGAGATGGACTTGTAACCTTGAGATTGTCCATGCTTTTCCACAAAAACTTGCCAATAATTTTGTCTAGTCCATTTTTTTAGTTTTGCGTGGAATGTGTCAGATTTGACTTGTTTTCTCCACTTTTAATTGTCATACCAATACAAACAAAATAAATAAACATAAGAATGCCTAAACATTTGTAAGTGCAACAATTGTCTGCGTGAAGAGGGCATTATCTGACAGAAATGCAAGTGTGCCAATATTTTTGTTCATGTATCATACATTCATTTATATTCTTCTCTGCAAGAAACTCAAGTAAAACTTTTTTAATTTAAGTTTTTGTGATCATCGAGACACAGTACTAAACAACTTAACACAGAACAACCTGGTGTTTTGTCAAATGTTTCCTACTTTCCTAACAAAAAGGATTAGTAAACCATATTGTTATCTATCAATTTCTATATTTATATTTTAGGGATTCAGTCCACCACATTGTGTTGTATCCCTGAACTGTAATAAGCATCTATTTATCACAATGTATTATTTTTTAAATAAATGCACATGTAAAATAATAATTTACACTTTGCTATAAATGTATCTGCTGCAGACAGTCCTACACATATATACACTATATATATACACAGTAAATTCTAACCTGTAAACCTACTTTAGAACAATTATAACAACCTAGATAGCCTATTCAAGTTAAAAATGAAATAACCTTTTCCTAGATTAACAGGCAGAAAATGAATAACATGTCAGTGCATTGAAAATGTCTACTAATGCAAATCTATTGATTGAACCAGATGAAGGTTTGCTAATTATAGGATTACCAATCTCATCACTTTGTGAGCCAGGAAGACAATTTTGATATAGAACATCAATAAGCTTAGCAAAGTTTAGATTAAATGATTTATTGGCCACTGCTGCACATTGATATAACTTCTGTAATTGGTATTATAAAGTGCTTTGAATTGCCAACAAAAACAATTTACAGTTTCTAACAGCAGTTATGTGGACAACCAATTCCATTTCATCTAACAGTAAAGATGCACTATATGTATAGATTTCAAGAATAGAAGTGTCCTGCATAACCTTACTGTTTTTGTAACCGACAGGACTGGTGTCGCAGGTAATTGGTAGATGAAGAGTATACTTTACAGACATGGTTGCAGCATTATTTTTTAGTGTCATATAAATAGGACTGTTAGGCCCCATTCACACCAGAGCATTTTGTAGCTAAATGCCTAGGAGCTACAATGCTCAACAGTAGGAATCCCATTGTTTTTAATGACCCCTGTTCACATCTGAGTGCTTTGTAATGTGTAGCAAAATGTTTGTAATTGAAAAAACATAATTTGAGGCAGAATTGAGCACTTTGGCCTCAATTAAATCACGTGACAAATATCTAAAAAAAAAAAGTAACGCACA